TCTCACTGATTATTCCCGATTTCTGTTTAAATACTTGTTTCTATATTTATTACAACAGGTTGTAACAAGTATGGGAATAAAATACAAAAAAGAAGCAACAACAAAAATAGGTGGATAGATGAAGGAAAAAAGGAAGAAGAAAAAAGAAATCTAGCAAAGACCTGACACATGACCTGAAAGAGACACATGACCCTTTAATAAATCCATCTACTGTTCACTGAAGCCTCATCAGAAATGGTCTCAGTGGACGGGAGCCTCTGAAGAAGCCCTTCTTAAGGATGGGAGACAGGGAAAAAAGGCTAATGTCAGCCAAATTACACAAGGCTTGATATAAAAGTCAACAGCAGAGATACAACAGTGAGTGTCCACAGTCTTTTAGACACAGTGGAGGCTCTGTCATGGTTTGGCGCTGCATTTCAGCCATTGGTGTCGGGATCATGTCCAGTTTGATGGAATTATTAACAATTCATCTGGAAAGAGTCTGATTGACAACAGGTTCATTTTTCAGCCTGACGATGACCCAGAAAACTCCTGCTGATGCATATTTGGATAGAAAAAAACACAGAGGAGCAGTATCAGTCATGGATAGGCCACCGCAGAGCTCGGACCACAATATTATTAAAGCAGTGTGGAATCATCTTGACAGAGAACAGAACAAAAGGCAGAAACATTCAAAGAACAGCTTTAAATGTCCTTCAAGAAGCCTGGAGAACTATTCCTGAAGACTTAAAGAAATTACAAGAAAGCTGCCTAAGAGTTCACGATGTACTGAAAAATAAAGGTGGTCACGCTAAATATTGACGTTTCAACTCATTAGAATTGCAAAAAAGTCTGTTTTTGCCATATATATTGTAAATCCATGTCTGTTTACATATATTTGACTAAATAACTACACCTATTATCGCTTTTCCTAGATGAATAGGAAGAAATGCTCTATGCACCCTACTGAACATTACAACACATTAAAACAGTAATGTGTTGTTGTTTCGGTCAATTTAGGACCTTAACTGGTTCACACTGAAATCTAATAAAGTAAAATATATATCAAAACTACAACTATTACAAATAAATTAGATCTGATCAAATGATCAGAATCAAGCTCACAGATTTGCAGCATAAATGAAGCCTTAGTCAGAGTGCTATCAGAATAATATCATAGACACGCTGATCAAAGTCCACAGAACAGCGTTTATCTGCACCGGTGCAGTTTTACAGCCCGTCATTTATGACTGATCTCAGCAAACAGTAGATTGCGTCATCAAGACTGCTCAGAAAAATAGAATTTCCATCAGTCACACATCTCAGATGGTTTTTCTTTTACCCCCACAAGTGAAAATTGAGGTCACAAAGGTAATATAATCTACAGCAATGAGTTTACATAACTGTTTATTTAGGATTTCACAGCTGAGCCAGAGTGTTTATCTGATCCAGACAGTGTGCCCCCGCTTTCTTAAAATCTTGGGTATTTTTATCCACAGAGTCATGTCGTTATTGTGAGTAGAAGCAGCACAACAAAACACCCTTAATCATACCGCAGATTAGATTTTCATCCTCCAGCTTCTGGAAAATTTTTTATATGGGGGATATATTTTTTGTTGATCTTACAAGATTAAAGCTCACCAAATGAAAAGTTCTTCCGCTACACAATTAAAGAGCAAATCTAACCTCAAGGTGCAGCCCATAAAGCAAACTGACTGAAACTGAAATCACGGCAAATGAAAACCCAATTAACCAAACTACCTTGGAAACAGGAAGTGGATTAATGGAGGGGAAAGTGAATGTTAGCAGAGAGGTGGCCTCTCTTTGCTCCCCCTGCTACTGGTCGGCTACATCACAAAACTGAGCGGGCACTCCTGGGGGACAGATGGTGAAGGCACAGAAGCGGGGACGGTGACACACTGACATTGTCTCAGGACACTGGAAGGACATAACAGCAGGCTTCACAGGACTCCAGATGGCCTCTTAAGAGTAGGTCACTACCCTCGCAGTGGATATAAAAAGCTCCTGACGTGAAGCTTACTTCTTCTGTGACGACTTCGCTAGTTACAATAAACCCTACACTGCATTATTAACGCTGTATACCATAACACCTACTAAACCTGTGAAAGCCTTTGAACCAGATTATAGTAAAACATCAAGAGGTTATGATGTAGGCCCAACGTCATGACAAGCATGACTTTTGACCATTTATTGGGATGACCTCCATATAGTTCAGATGTTTTCTCCACCAGCTCCTGATGAGGCAGCACCGGCAAAAGCCAGAAAGAGCCTAAGCCTGAGAGCTCATTTATGTGGTCAGCTGAGGTCCTGAGCGATTAGCTAATTATCTGGCTCTATCTGTTGGAGGGGCCCCAGGCCACAATATGGCTGCTAGACACAAATTATTTTAGTTTATATGTTCCCAGGCAGAATACTTCACTTTATCAAATTAGGTCTAGTTGCAGGGCTTAATGGGAACTTGATGGCATCAGCGCTCACAATCAAAAAGGTGTGCTTTCCACAAGAACATCCCGAGCTCTGGTGTAAATGTTCGACTCCTTAACCGCTAAATGCACCATCCCTTATGTTGCTGATTTTGTTTGTGTGCTGCTGGGGTCGTTTTTAAAAACACCTGTCTGCTGTGGCTGAAAAATGACTCCGATAAAAAAGATAGTGAATCAAGGAAGCAAAAGATGTTTGGCTGCAAAGCCAAAGCAAGGGGATGCACAAAGTTGAGGGAAAATGCAGTCATCTGATGATTCTCTTAAATGTTATTTAAGGAAACAATGATAAGAGCAGCTTTAAGATTATATTGTTTAAATTAAAGACAGTAGATAGATTGTCAAGTTAAAAAGACAATAAATTATATGTTATAGAACCTGCTGTCATTCATCAGTCAAAGTGCAGCTCACAGGAAAAGGATCCAAGCATCTAATGGATATATTTTTCTTTTCTTGTGCCTCCAAAATCTGCTCTCGGGTTTTGCTGCTCATTCATTTTTATTGTGGGCTCAAATGAGCTGCATTCTGACTTTTTCCTTTTGTAAATTCTACTCAGGAGCAGTGCACGAGACACCGCTAATGCACTACAGTGATACTGAGCTACAATACAAAAGGCACAGTACAATTTAACACATTTGCTATGGGCTCTTACTTTAAAATATTAAAACTACAATAAAAAAGAGCTTTTTCAAATACTGCACAAAGACTACTGTATAGTATCAGAAAGCTAAGAGAAGTAGCACTGCCTAAGGTAATAATACATTTGATTAAATGCTAACAAGCTGGAGTCGGGGGTATTTTAAAGAATGGTTTAATATGTATGAATTAGAAATTAAATACTAATATAACTGAGACCATTTGTGACACCATGATCTGATATGGGACACGCTGTTAGTATTAGACTGTTACAGACCTGAAAACTGTCATTCCTGGAAAAGCGAAGGATTTCCCGCAGCCACGTATCCTTCTGTAGTTGAGTTGAGGGTTTCCACACTGCTGTGCTCCGACCTGCTGGATGAGTTTGAACCAGGACCTGAAGATCTCCGTGAGTTGCTCCAAAATAATAATAGAAACTCATCTGACAAGCAGAAATGAAAAGAAGGTGATCAGGTGATGTCACATTGGTGGAGGCTGTGGTTTACTGTAGATTCTGTTACCTGGCAGGTGTGGCTGGGTGGGAAGACTGGACTTTTCAGGTCTGCTGTGGTTTTGTTTCCTCTGACGGGTAACAGGGACAGAAAATGTGCTGAAGGGGGAGAGGAGGAAAATTTAAAGGAAAACTTTCATAATAGGTGTTGTTATCATTTGGAAATGACAGCTGCGCCAACCTGATTTGTTGTTTGTGTGGACATGTTTGAGTCCAGCGACCTCAGTTGTTCTGGACCACTGAGCCCTCATTTCTGTGCTTTGGATCAGGTCACAGAAACCCTCCTCAAAGTCACACCTCTCATACATTGAACCTGCAGCAGGAAATGGTAACACATATATTTCACGTCTGCTCTTTTTTTGTTAAGCCTCTGATGTAGTTCACATCATTATAGATTCAAGTGTAAACTGCAGTTTGTAATTCAAAAGTGCCGTGGCGTATTTTCAGAGGTATCAGGCAAGATTAGCAACCATACAACAATCACTGCCCATTTATAGATCCTTGTCGACAAAATTTTATATCCATCATAAAAATGTACTCGATTAGATTAAACTTCTGTTTTATTCTACTGATCTGGATTTTAGAGACCAGCCCTAAAGCTACAGATTTTTAGAACAAGGCTTACTCCTAAAGCGCTAGAAAGATTAATGATCAAAAAAAGGTTTTGTAACTACAGTACACAATAAATGAACAATAAATGACCAAAGATAATAGTTCTTAATGGTTAAGGAAGAAAAAATATTATTTTAGAAAATGCACTTTAAGACAGTTGTTTATTCTTTTAGTCCCATTATTTTTTTCAGTTGGATATAAGCCTGATAGTTTAGAGTGACACGTCATGATGAAACATAGAGGTGGAAAGTAATGAAGTGCATATATTTATTACAAATATCTTTGCCTCCATCTCAGCCTATCCAGCATCCTCTTCTGTAACACCAACCCTCTACATATTCTCCTTAATCACATTTGTGAATCCTCTCTGTGGTCTTCATCTTCTCCTCCTGCCTGTCAGCTTCATCATCAACATATCAGCACATGTCTACACCATCTCAAACCAGCCTTGCTTCTCTAACCTTGTCTCCAAACTGCTCGACCTGATCTGTCGCTCTGATGTACTCATATCTAATCTCGTCTGCTCTCACTCTAAATCAGAATCTTAAAATCTTCAGCTGAGCCTCCTGTCTTTTTGTCAGCTCTCCAAACCACACGTCACATCAGGTCTCACTGCCGCTAACCTTTCCTTCCACTCTTGCTGCTATCTTTCAATCACAAATCACTAGTCTCCACCCACTCCACCTCTTCTCTACGTCTTTTGTGCAATGTCCAAATAACTGTACTTTCTACTCCTAACATCTTTAAAATAGGTTTGTTACTTTAGGCTTAAGACATCTGAGGGGCATTGTTGATTACTTCACATCACTGTGCACCTCCCAGACAACAGACATCAAACTGATGTGAAGCTAAATGGAAGGATCAATAACATAAAAGGCAATCATATTGGTGAATCCACCATTCAAGGTGCACATGTCAATGTGTTGTGGTTGCAGTACTTCAGCTTAGCCATACTGAAGCAGAGGCGGAGCCAGACATTTGCCTAGCCCTAAAGGGTAGTATGCATGTGGGATTTTTTTTTTTTTTTTTTGGGGGGGGGGCTTTAGAAATGACTGAAAGATTAATTGGCTCTGTTTTGAGTTTTGTTCAAAAAAGAATGACTTCATATAGCGAAAAATATATATCACATATGCAGGACACCTTCAACTAGTTTTTTAATTGAGCAGCAAGGCAGAACAACGTCGGGGCTGTATCAAGACACGAGGACTAAACCCCAATTCAACCAGACCCAGAACTGATCCGGAATTAAAACAGGACTACAACAGTTCAAAATCAGGACTTAGGACTTAACCAAGACAGAACAACAATCAGAACTAGATGATAGTAGCACTAAAAATCATCATAGACATGCACTACACTTATTTTTTAATTCTACCAAAGTCCACTATTTAGGTTGAGAAAAGTTTATATGATTATTTAGCCATGTTGTGCAAACAAGCCTGCATAACTTAATAAATATAGAATTTGAAAAATAACAAACCTAAAAAGAAACACTAGGTACGAGATACATGAGGACCTATGATACGGTGATACTTTTGGTAAACAACCATTTGACTAACATGTGTGTCTCACCTGCTCTTGTTCCATCTCTGTGCTGTCCTCATTCTCTCTCTCCCTCTTTGTTCCTCTCTCTCTCTCTTTGTGCTGACAATCATCAAATATACAGTTGAAACCAGATATTTACAAACTCTTCAGATAAAAACACTTTTTTAATTGTAACATCAAATCAGACTAAATGTTTATTTTTTTAGATTGATAAATATAAAAAACATATTTGTTAACTTTAAGAGTAAAGAGAGAAACTGTCTGTATTTCTTAATTGTAAATGGCACCAAATTGTATTCAAAATTGAGCCACACTTATGGAGCTCCACGATTCTTTTTCTGGTGTTTTGGTTGACATCTCTTGATTTTCCCATTTCACAGAAACAGGCTCTGTGTTTTGGGGGTGTCTTATATGCATCCACAGGTGTGCCACCAATTTACTCACATGGACTCTACTAACCAATCAGAAGCTTCTTCAGCTCAGAATGGAATCGTCTGGAGTTCCCTATTAATTAACAATAAACTTAGTGTATATGTACTCCTACATTTGATGAAAGTGATAACAAATAGACAGCTCTGTCTCTCTTTATTCTGACATTTAACTAATTCAAAAGATATTTCAATATTTATTTATCTAAAACAAAACAAGTTTACTCTAAATTGATGTTGTACAGTAAAAAAATGTTCTTGTGTTTTCCCTAAAGTGTATGTAAATATCTGGTTTCAACTGTGACTATACTGCTGTGTATTAAAATTCCTCTTGTTTTGCATAGAAATATACTGAACAACATACAAAGCATAATATATAAAATACTACCAGAGTTTTTTCTTTGAAAGAAGCTCCTTATGTCCATTCTTGTATATCAGTAAATTACTGAAACCGATTTATTTAGCCGTGGAGGGTAACAACTGACAATATGAAATAAACACACATGTAAGCTAAGACTCTCTAAAGAAACAGCATTGTTGTTGTTCGGCTTTTCATTTCGCCATTTGTTGATTCACTCGAAGAGCAAGTAACGTAATATGGGTCAAGTGATCAGTCTGATATCAATCTTTCGTGACACACCGTCATGTATACATTATTTGTACAGTACAAATGATTTGCTTTGCTACCTGGTCAAACTTCAGTTCTCCTCTGTCTGCCTAACTCCGTTTCTCTAACAGCGCACTCGCAGGCAGCAGCTGTCCCGCCCCGCTTAGTGCCTGAGCTCGGATCATACCAATATTAGGGAGGATTTACGCACAGTCGTAAATTCCCACAGTGTGCACTATGTGCTTCGAATATTGTGTGTAGTTTTTTGCTTAGTTGTCAGCCAGGCATCTAACTATGAAAAAATTACACTCCAAAAGACCCCGGGCTTCTGAAAAAACAACCCGGGCTTAAGCCCAGTAAGCCACCCCCCCCCCGCTCCGCCACTACTGAAGAGGAGTGAGCATAAAAGGAGTAATATTTTCAGGTCATTTCAAACACAATGCTTCGAACTGCTCAACAAATATCAGTAAACACACAAACTGTTTCTGTTTCGGTGCATTTTGTTACACACTTTGTGCAGCTTAAAGTGACAGGAGTTCTCAGAGAGAGAAAGGAAAAGTAAATGTGTGATAAGTTCACTCTCAAAGATGAAAAAGGATGAGGATAAGCTGTTCTCCACTGCATTTAATATAAAGAGAAAATGTTTGATTCACAAGCAAATTTACAAACTCTATGAAATGAAATCAGATCGTGGATAAAAATAGATTTTTACTCTCAGTTTTTTCTATACTGTGTGTCCATTTTCACATTTTACTCACAATTGTTTTCATCGCTGCTGTCTCCACAGTCGTCAGTGAAGTCACACACACAGTCCTCAGACACGCATAATCCGTGAGAGCAGGAAAAATCCTGGTTCGAACAGGTGTTGGCAGCCACTGGCTTGAATACCAAAGTGAAGGCTAACACCAGCCACACCAAGCCAAGCGGTGACGCCATCAGCAGCTTATTGTTTGCCCTTTAACTAAAATACCTAATTTTCCCCTCCAAATGAAGCATTTTTCTTTCATGACATGAGGAAGAATTCCTGGTGTAGAGCGGCTTTTCCTCACTGTGTACAGCTTACTCGGCTCCTGGATTGATACCGTACGTGTGCTCAGCATTCATGCTGTAAAGAGTAATAAATGGGTTTTATTGCTGTTACTCAACAAGGTCACTGTTCCTGCTCATGTGTTTAACATGGACACATGTCATGACAAGGGGACAGAAATAACCAAAGTCTCCTGAGCCCACATTTTATTACCTCTATTTTTTTTTTATTTTTTTTTAAATTTTGGATTGAAATTAGATTCAGAAATTATCTTTACTCTGTACTTAAGTAACTGCATCTTGCATGATTATGACAATACTTCATCTTTTGTGTGGTTTCCCTCTTTTCCTCCTGCCTGGTGGCTCCATATATAACATCCTTTGTACAGTATATACCCTATCCCTCCTCTGCACCATGTCAAACTTGTCTCTCTAACTTTGTCTCCAAACTGCTCATTTCTAATCTTGTCCATCCTGGTAACTCCCAAATGAAAATCTGACCCTCTTAAGCTCCGCCTCCTCCTGCTCAGCCTCCTGTATTTTTCTCAGTGCCACCATCTCCAGACCATACATCAGGTCTCACTGGCATCTTGTAGACCAGGGGTGGGCAACTACAGCCCTCGAGGGCCAGTGTCCCTGCAGGTTTTAGATGTGTTCTTGAACCAACACAGCTGATTTAAATGGCTAAATTAGCTCCTGCAGTTCTCCAGAGGCCTGGTAACAAACTAATCATGTGATTCAGGTGTGTTGACCCAAGGTGAGATCTAAAACCTGCAGGACACCGGCCCTCGAGGCCTGGAATTGCCCACCCGTGTTGTAGACCTTCCCTTCCACTCTTGCTGCCACCCAGTCACAAATCACCCCTGTCACTCGCTTCTTCACCTCTCCCCTGCAGTATCCATTTCTGCGGATAGTCGACCCAGGTGCTTAAACTCTTCCACCTGTACTATTTCTATTCATTCCATCTTCACTGTTACACCTGTCACTTTCCCATTCCCATAAACAGGTATTCTGACTTGCTTCTACCGACTTCTACTCATTCCTCAATCCTTCGTTCTCTTCTTCTTTCAATTTAGAGATTTGGATATTTTCTTTTAATAAGGACAATGTCTACCATATCAGCTTGTATGCATGAAAGCTCTCTTACTCTCATTAGTGATCATCGCACTCATGTTTAACTGATTTTTACAAGTTCAGCTGGGAAGGAGCCGGAGTACCCCATGGAGGCAGACACAGGGAGAGCATGCAACCTCAACACAAAGAGATAATTAACTTATCTGTACAGGTTTAAAGCAGGATCCAGCTAAGCATAAAAGTATGCAATTATGTCAATAGTAGGTAACTTTAATAATCAAATGCAAATGAGACTTACAGAAAAGCCAGCAAAAGAAATATGCCACAAGATAAGATACATTATCTCTAATCAGTTTGATGAGATGAGCTAGGGAACGTATGAAGTGCTATAAGAGGATCATTAACTGTGTTCAGCAGGGCTCAGCTCCTCTATACAGTGAGGCATAATTTTATTTCACAGCAATCAATAAAGACAGCAACCTTAACACAGGCAAGCAGCAAGCCAGTACAAGAGTTGGTGTGGTTCAAATGAAATTAACCTTGAGAGAAAAGGCGAGCTTGACGGCCCCATTGGGGGATGAGGAACCAGTGGAACAAGGGAAATATCACGTCTGGATTGACCCCTGTTGGCAGCGAGCGTGCCATATGTAACACAGAGGCCTGCGGGCTGTTGTTTCTCATAGCAAACAGCAGTCAATCATTTTAACAGTGTCAGGATGTAGAAGTGGAAAGCATTTTGAGGTTCCAGATTTTAACATGTGGTAGGAAGAAACAAGAGTACCAATGTGGTCACTAATGGTGATTCATAACCACAATTAGCTGATTTCAACTAGAAAGAGTCGTTAATATCTGCCAGCAAAGAACCGCGCAAAAAATCTTCACTGCTCTGGAACTCAAAGTGGGAAGTCATTAAAGTATATCTATGTTTTTTCATGCGGAACATAATATTCAGAGCAGCTGGATATAAAAGTAGTGTGTAACCAAAACGCTGATACTGCTCGATTAAATTTAACCTCACAAAAAGAACAGAGGAGGAAATTATACTGGGACAAAAATACACAATGACGTGATTACACATGCTCCCAGTGTTAGCATGCTATCATTTAATAAGAATGTTTAAAACTGATCGGGTCTGCACCTTGATTTTTTTTGTTTTTCAGTCACTCTGTTGCAGATTTGCTGCTGTGCTTTAGCTGTCTGACAGCTGGCCTCATATTTGGTTCTCAGTGTTTTTCTAATTGTGCTGTCATTAATTTTAACATTTAACATGATAACTGAGGCCTGTAGAGTCTGACATGTAGCTCTTGAGACTTTTTCAATTTCTCATGTACAGTTTGACCTTGGGGTAAATTTGTTGGGACATCCACTACTAGGAAGATGATGGCACTGTGTTAATACACATGCACTCATGCTCCAGACCAGAAAACTGCCTAAACGTCTACTTTTGTAGAGGCCTCTAGTTACCCTTTTAATTTCTATGGAAGTACTAAGTCTGTACATATAGAGTCAGGTTTCAGAGTACATAGAGTCCCATGAAAACCTTTTTCACATGACTGGTGTTCATACCTCCTTTTGATTAATTCTAAAGTCTGGACATCAGTTAGCATTTTCATCAGTAGCTCTGAGGTGTGGATTCATATATGGGAACCAAATACATTTAGTTATTAGTTACTATTAATATCTAGCTCTCTTCCATAACATGTCTTTGTGCTGTCTTCATCCACTCACCCCCGACCGGTCGCGGCAGATGCCTGCCCTTCCCTGAGCTTGGTTAAGTTGGATGTTTCTTCCTGTTAAAAGGGAATTTTTCCTTCCCACTGTCGCCAAAGTGCTAGATCATAGGGGGTCATCCGGTTGTACAGCTTTTCTGTTTCCTTTGTATTATTCTAAGGTTTTTACCTTAAAACGCCTTTAGAGAACTTGTTGTGATTTGTCACTATATAAATAAAATTTAATTGAACTGAATTAGATGACTTCAATGACCAATCCAATATAAAGTTCAGAAATGTAAAGAAACAAAGAACCACAGCACAAGCTGCTAGGAGTAAACGGGATATCAAACAATGCAACTGAGAGCTGGACATAAGGGAGTATTCACAGATGCTTTGAAAAAGATTATTTACTCCCATCCATGGATTCAAATCATCAGCATGACTGGAAACGGGGATGTGATATATTTTCACAAAATTGTACCTCCACATACCTGTCCTGCATTTGTTCTTTGTCTCCCAACTAATGAATTCTTAAACTCTTGTGATTCATTTCACCTTAACTGGTGAAACAGAGGTCAAAGCAAAGCTTGCCTGTAAGTGACTTAAATGAGACAAATTTATCGTTGAGTCTGCCGGTCCTGGTGGGATTGATGCAGCCATTTGTCAAAGATTCGAACTAATCTGTTCCACACAGTCTTTTACATATTAATACAAAGCTGTGATGAAATGCTGTTCCTATTTGTAAGCAGAATGATTTTCCTTGACATCAATTTTTTTGGTAATGTTTCATCTGGGTAATGGTGAGGGGGAGGTTACCTTCACACACCAGCAATGACCTCCGATTGGAAAATTAAGTTGCAAAACCCATTATTCTACAGGATTTACAAAAAAAACTGGTGATTGCACTGAGGAAGGAGTTTATATGCAGATCTGCAGGGTCATTTTTTAAGCAGAGCTGATACAATACAGGAAAAAATGGAAAATAATAAGTAAAATCTCCTAGAATTTCAATGAGGTGCAAACTTTACATTGGCAGATACTCAGTGTTCTCGTTCAGCAGCTGAATGAAAGCTTTTGCATTTTTAAAGGACGTCTTCCTCTCTAAGAGAGAAAAAGTAAGCAAAATCAAGTCATGCTGTCTCATAATTCATAATCGTTTTTCTCACATCCCGCCGCCTTTTGACACTTTGTTAATTAGGACACATTGACAGCGGAGAACATTTGCATTTGCATTTTGAATGCAGCCAATCTGCTTTCACATCCTCAAGCTGCGGCGATGTGCAACACTTGCTAATTTTCCTCAGACCTGAATCGAGTGATTCACTGCTGAGTGAAGTGATCATAACAGCTGGGGTTTAATCTTAACAGTGTACCTGTAGGAGATGGATCACTCAGCACCTCCAATCAACGCAGCATGAGGGCGAACATCCTGCAGAGCTCTGTGACGTGCTGTTGTGTACGATGCAGCCGGCAAAGTATTGACAAATGAGCTCAATAAGCACAAAGTGAGCCAGTGAACCAGACCGCATTCAGCACCTGAGTCTTATGCATCCTATTTGGCAGATCCTTGTCCCGCAATAATGCTGCCACCTGTCAGTATACAAGAAGCACACTGCAAGAATACTCAAGGTAAGTTGAAAGAAACCTGTTAGCTCTGCCATGGCTGCCATTAGTCATGCTGTTCATCTGAAAATCAAAAATAAACACACAATAATGAAATAAACCTGTGACTGTTCAGAGACATACATCATTTAGCACTTCTGAAGCATTAGTGTAGTAATGTTAATGTTTTCAACGTTATTAACTTTGTCATTTTTTCTTATTATTTTTTTCAATTACATGGATGTAATTATATAATATGGGGATATTTGGCAATACTAACACTTGTGAGGTCAGAATGATTTCTTATTTTTATCTGCAGTCTCATGAACTTTAAGGACACTGAAGGAAAACTAAAAGAGAGAAAAATGTGCAGTACAAGTAAAAAAGCAAGCCCCTCAAACATTTCATTTCATTATTTTGAGATAAATTGACAGCAATATGCTTTGACATATCTGTGGTATCACCTTCTGGTTTGTTTTCTCTTTGTCAATGTCAATCACAACGTGAATGCAAACAAGTTGC